ATCATCACGCTGAAGGGACTCTAGTGGAGGCTGAAAATGGGATACACGGTGTCAAAGCTAACACTCATTTGACACCTGCCCAGTTTTCGGGGACGTCGATGGGTCTGTTTGGTTCCTCCCAGAGAATTTAGCCAGTCTCTGGTTCCCGGAGGTACCTTACACATGCACAGTGGCTTCAAACCCGCGTTCACGTGCTCTGTACTGCATGAATCCAAGGACTGAGTATGACTATGTGCACTCCTGGAGGCAGGGGCACAGGCTACCCTGCTGTGGGGAGCTGTGCACTGAAGAAGCTCAGCATCCTCCGTGGGCTCCTATACCCTGGGCATCCCACCTGACTAGAAGGACAACCTTTCTGGGGTACCTCTTGAACATCCGCCACTCTGTCACTCGGGAGCACCCTGCCAGGTCCTGAGAGTCGGATGTCCTTCCGGCTGACTCTCTCTGTCCTCACCTCCCTTATTTTATACTCTCCCAGGCACATTTCCATTTCTCTTCAGCGGTACTTACCACCGTGGTCTCATCTTCTGCAGGGCAGGAGTCGGCTGAACAGAGTTTGAAGCCCTCAAGGATAACGATTTTTTTATTTATCTATTTATCTCAGGGCCCAAACGTGTTTGTTGTGTAGCTACCCTCCCGATCAGAAGGAGCACAGCAAGGAGATGTGGCAACTGTTTCCAGGATCAAACATGCCAATGTGGGGGGAAAAAAAATCAGAAATTCCAGGTAGCAGTTTGGTAAGCCAAGGTAAGTATATACTCCATGGTGCACTGGCATTGGGCATTACAAAAGCAGACCAGCATGCTCACAAAAATTCCAGGGCAAAACCCCAAACCAAACCAAACGAACCCAGACAAACACCCTACAATCCCACCAATTTATGTTTATCTTCAATAACGAAGTATCAAGATAATAGAAATACACAAAATTATAAGGGAGGAAGACCCCTCTTATATTCTATATTCTCTACTCAAAAAAAGAAGCTGTATTTAGCCAGTGAATTGGTGGAGACCTGAATATGTTACCCACTGCAGCAATTCACCCTCTGGCTGAACCACACCTAGACATGGCCCATCACGTGTTACCCCTCTCTTCTCCAATTATTTGGTATGCTTGAAACCAAGTAAATGGATTTCTAAATTAGCTAGTCAAATAAAATTAGGGAGAAAGAAATATCTAGCCTAAACAAAATCTACAGGATGCCTCTAAGCACAGATAATATTCCATTAGCACACAATACCTAACCACAGTCATTCTGAAATGGCTCACTTTCTTCGAGAAAACAATAAACCTCTGATTTTATAAAGCTAAGTGAACTCCTGGGCCTGCAGACACTGACGGAATATCCTTACTTGGTTTCAATAAGAGAGAGTCAGTAAGATCAGCCCTACTAAATTTAGCCTCTGAGCTGATTTCATCACTAACCCGGCTTCTCTGCTGACACAAGAGAGAAGGCCCAGGGGACACAGCGCTAGGCTGGAACCAACCTATTTAACAAGCACAGATCTGTAGCCAAAAATGGTCACAAAGAACCTGCTACCTAGCACAGGAATGACTACCAATCAGCGTAAGGCCCAGAGGGCTCATCCTCCACGTTCCAAGCATGCCTGATGGCCACACCTGCAAGAAGCCCAGTGCGTGTTACAAATCATATTCCCTTTTACTGGCTCATATACTGATTTTGTAAATGCAACTACAATTTCATCAGCCAAATTCAGAAGCTTTCCCAGAATAAGAAAAACAAAAAAGAAAAAAAAAAATCCAGAAACCTGATCCAACACAAAGCTTGAACCAATCTGGAGAAACACATATTGAACTCGAACCAAACCCTAATCATTTTTCTACCTTTACAAAAAGTCAATCAAGAAAAATATTTTAAAATTTCAAAACTGCTTTCATCTAAATGACATTTTATTTCAATACCCAGATGCTCAGGCAAACAACCCAGCCTTCCACTAACCACGGTGCCAGTATAGGCTGAGAGATGAGACTGGCAGTGGTCCCCTTCAGTGTGGAAGGCCTGCTGGTCTCTGCTGCCAGGGCTTCCTGTCCTGTGAGGGGGTGGGAAGGAGAGGGGGAGGCTGCACAGGCTTCAGAAAAAGGCCAGCTGGGAAGGCTAGCTTTGCAGTTACACCCCGCCTAGGAGAGAAGATCCAGACACAGCCATGAAGGGTGTGTGTGGGTTGGACGGTGTAGGTTTAAGTTTTAAAGGAAGCATGGGGCGGTAGGGCAGGGTGAAGGGTGAGGAAGAGAGGCAACCCTCTGCCCCGTTCCCCCCCCCCCACCCTTTGCGCACGGCCCACTTCTTTTCTGTCACCTCAAGTCGAGGAGGATGCTTTAAGAACTTTTAGCACCATACCGACCTTTCCCATCTTCAGTACCTTCGAAACCATCTACTAAACTGGTCTAGAATTCAAACAAAATTCCCCCCTTTAAAGCCCTATACATTCTACAAAGCAACTGAATGAAAACAGACAGTCATCCCTGAGCTGAACTAGTGTGATGTGCTCATGTTCCAACCTCCATCCCACAAGGGGAAATCAACATGACGAGATTTCAAAGCAGATTTAGGCGGCCAGCAGTAGAAAATGGAACAGCCCTCTGCCTTCCTTGAAACAGATTGTTTTTTGCAAGAAATAAATGCAATCCAAATATGCATACAGATCCATGACCCAGATTTAAAGTTCAAAGAAAGTGATCATAAAGTTACATCCTTGGGATACAATAACAAGAAATAAGAGTGAATAATTTTCATTATTTTGAATGTATTACAAGGTATTTCCATGTGATTTACTTATTTATTTTCTTATTATGGTGCTGGGCATTGAACCCAGAGCCTTGCACACATGAGACAAGTGTTCTACCACTGAGCTATGACTACCCCAGCCCAGTACTCTTACTTTACAGAGCATTTAAAAATGTTTATGAGGAAGAAAGAGATGTCAGGTAAAGGCAAAACGTTCAGAAGCAAATGCATTGTAGTTTTATTTCAGTTTTTTGGAAACTGAAGAAAAGTTGATGTTCATTTTTTTTTCTACTTTGCCTTATATTTTTTAAAAAAAATTATTAAAACTTTATTGTAAAGAGCTTCCAAATTAAACACACACACACACACACACACTCCCCCCCAAAGTAACTAGTCTCAAAGTCTATACATCTCAGTGAACTTCTGCACAGTTAGAATTCCATCCATTCTAATTGATGTTTGTTTTAGCGTGGGCTTTGAGGGAGATCTATTAGCTGGGAACAGAGGGGAGAAGGGCAGAGCGGGAATCACCAGGTGTGGAGTTTAAGTCTTCAAGGGGTGGGGGTGGGGAGACGACAGCATGGAAAATAATCTGCAGAAACGCATACAGGTAACCTTCAAGTGTCTTTCCAGAGCACAGTACGAAAATCAAATACCACGTAATAAGCTACAAGGAACCAAAATAAATACCCAAGAGACATTATACTCCATAAATCTGAGCATTCCTAAGCATGATAAGGACAAATCACTTAGGTCATTGGTCTTGGATTTTTTTTCACATCTGAGAGGCACTGTCCTACCTGCCTTCAGAGTCTTCTAGAACGAGAGCAGATAAACGAATTCATAAATAAATAAATAGAAAGACCACTTCTTCCTGCCAAATGCCACTGCTGAAGACAAAATTAAACTAAGAAGATGCAATTGGTGCCGGACCCTGTCTTTCCACAACAGGAACTCACACTTGTTTCCCAGTCAGAAGTGTGTCTCAAAGCAGAAAGGAAACATTAATCTATTACTGGGGACTTTGCAAATTCTGATAGTACTTCATGAAATCATTTTGTGTGTGTGTGTGTGTGTGTGTGTGTGTGTGTGTATGACTATTGGAAAGAGTTCACAGTCCGATACCAATGAGCCGGCAAAAACAGAACTTTCTGCATCTAAACACCTTTACAAAAACAAATTCATAATACTATATGTCCTAATACCAAGTCCATGTTAGGGCCACAGGCAAAGAAGGCGTCTCTTTTTCTATTAGCTTACAAGAGTATTTAATTTGCCAATGACAATACTTTATTTTGATTTACACTCAAAGCTAAAGGCACATTACTTTAACACACTCAGACTTTATTTTTTGAAATTGCATCTTCCTTCCAAACAGGTTTAACCCAGTATGCATTCCCGCAGAACTACTCAGTGTCAGGTACAGTAGGGTGCGGGCATTAGGCAAAAAGTAACTGCAGGTCCGTTCTTAAGAACCTGGTGCCTCCGGGGTCTGGGGAGTCCACAGACAGCTTGATAGGTGTGATCCTGGACGGGGGCGGGGTTGGAGGGAAACTACTGAGCCAGGACCGCTTCCCAGAGCCAACAGGAGGCGAGGCAGAGGAAACTGTGAACAGGATGTTACTACACACACAAAGAAGAGAACTCAGAGTATTACGTGGTGCTAAGGCTCCAGGGAGAGAGATGTGTGTGATGGAACCGGGAAGGGCAGTAAGAAGCCCTAAAGATCCACTGTGCATTTTGTTGCTGTTTGTTTGTTCGTTCCTATGGACAAGCATTCTAAGCTCTACCCCCAGCTGCTTTTTGTTTTGGAACAAGGTCCCACTAGGTCACCCAGACTGACCTTAAACTGGTTGTAGGGTCCAGGCAGGCCTTGAACTTGTTATAGCCTGTTTCAGCCTCCTGGCAGCTGGGATTCAGGCCCTGCATCACCAGCCCAAGCTCCACTGTGTTTGAAACCACATGCATGGTGACAACAGGGCCACGGAAAGGAGGCTAGGAGCCAGCATTCCAGAGGGGTATGGCCGGCAATAAGCTAGAAGCAGCTCACACACATCTGGATAGCTGTGTGCTCTTAGATGGTCTCAGACACCGCCCCCACAATGTTCTTAAGGTATAGCCAAGTTTTCCAAGCATAAGCTATATTTATATGTATGTTTTTGTCTTACCCCAAATATGTCATGCGTGGTTCCTAAAAGTCACATTCGATTGCCAGTGACCACATCGGGTAAATACTAAAAAGACAGCCTCTTACCTGAACAGAGCTGTTCCACCTTTGTGTAGTTTAGAGAGACGATGTCATTAACCCATGCAATGATGTCATGCCTGCTCATAGTCTCCTGGGTGATCGAGGTAGAATACACGTTGACCGCCATTCCCCAGCTAGGATAAAACAAATGAAGATAAGTTTATTTACTCCCAAGAGAAAAGATTATCTTAGAAATATAAAAAGCATGCCATCATGAAGGACATTCCTGGTGGAGCTTTACAACGAAGCTTCTTCATGTGGGTCCTGACCTCACCCCCCACCTGCAGCGGTAGAAGGGCGTAGGTGGTAAAAATCTGGCCAACAGTAACCGGCTTCGGAACACGCAACAACCAACACTTAGTTCATAATCGGCTGTGTACTGGACCCACAGCACGCCCGGCAGTGCCTGGCCATGTTGCTTCAGGAGTTGTAGCTACAGCCTTCATGCTGAACACATACCTCGCCCCTCCCGACTGCCCGTCCTCCGGGCTGCCTGCTGTGACACCTCGAAAGGCCAGCAGCCAGCGAGCACTGCCTGAGACACCCTGGCTGGAATCTCAGACTACTGTGTTTTGTTAAGTGACGTTATTTTGGATGTACATACAAAGCTTGCTGCTCTTACAGAAACATACTGGCTTCATTATAGAAAACAAGGCTTTTAATATTTTCCCGCTGTCGGTCTTAGCACGTAAGTATCAAAACAATGCATTTTTGGATTGTATTGTGCTAAGACCAACAAGCACATCCATCTCTAGTATGCAAATTTGCTTTCAGCTTTTTTTTTTTTGTCTTTTTTATTTTTTGAGACTTGGGTCTCACTATTTAGCTCTGGCTGGCCTGGAACTTGATTTGTAGGCCAGGCTGGACTTGAACCTGCAGTGAACTTCTGCCTCTGTTTCCCACTGCTAAGATCACAGGTGTGAGCTATTTTGCCCAGTTTTGTGGTGAAAAGCACATGCTTATCAATGGACTATTTTAAAATTTTTTATGATTTACTGTCATAAATGTCTGAGTCACATACCTATTTTACTTACCTACCGAGCTGAGCTCAGGTAAAAAATTCTCAGGTGAAAAGGGTTTGGAGTTGAAAAGGGTTTGGAGTTGGAAGTTTCAGAGGCCTTGCTCTAGAGAGAGCAGCAGGCCCCTGACTCGGCCAAACCCACCTGCTGTCCTTTCTCCTCTCAATTCCTTGTTAATTTTTTATCTGGACCACATTTCACGTAATTTTTTCCTGTGTCCACTTCATATTTCTCCCATCTAGACTCTGAAGTTCTTCAAGGTCTGAGATTCTTCATTTCTAAAAGAATTTAGAGCCTCACTTTTGACTTTAAGTCTTTATGGGACATTAAGTTACTGGGCTTACAACACTGTGCACCACGACAATCTCGTTTCGTTTTTTTTTTCTTTAAAAAAAGATTTATATTGCAGGATGGTGGTGGTGCGCGCCTTTGATCCCAGTACTCAGAAGGCAGAGGCAGGCCAGTCTCTGTGAGTTCATGGCCAGCCTGGTTTACAGAGTGAGTTCTAGGACATCAAGGGCTACACAGAGAGAAACTGTCTCAAAACAAAACAAAAACACGCACATTTGTAAGTGTAATACCCAGAGAGGACCGTAAAGGCTGCTGGGATCCCTGAAGCATGAGTTAGAGGTGGTTGTGGACTAGCAAAGCAATTGAACACTCTAAGTGCTGCTCAATGGGCCATCCTAGGTGGAGTGTGGAAGACCATGGTGCTGGTGTGATTTGAACCATGGGGGCCTGGATCATGGAGGTTTCAGAGGAGAAGAATGTTAGTATGTGACCTAGAGACTGCTCTTGTGATATCTGGGTGAAGAATGTGGCTGGTTTTTGTCCTTGTCCAAAGAGTCTGCCTGAGGCTAAAGTGAAGAGTTCTAGATTAATTCTGTTGGCAGAGGAACTCCCAAAACAGCCTAGTACAGACTCCGTCACGTGGTCACTAGTGTTCATGCTTATAAAGTTTTATAATGAAAAGACGATGTAAAAGACATCTTGCTCCTGCAAGACGATGTAAAATTCGCGGAGAAAAGGAGCACCAGGAAGTGGAATAGAGCTAAGTCCTGTGTTCAAGGAGATAAACAGATTAAGAAATGGAATAAAGGGAGGGGTGACTTCAGGGCAAGCTGCCACCTACCTGTTAAATTTCCAATTTTAAAAAAAAATTAAAAAAAAAAAAGATTAGAGCCAGGGGCAGTGGTGCACACCTTTAATCCCAGGACTCCAAAGGCAAGGCAGAGGCTGGCAGATCTCTGAGTGCAAGGCCAGCCGGGCTATAGATCCAGTGTCAGGACAGCCAAGCTCAGATACTGAAGGAATCCATTGAAAACAGAAAGCTGGTGAAAATTTAATTGAACGGAGGGCCCATGATGCAGGCTTTAAAGTTAAGGACAGAAGAAACAGGTCATGGAATTTGCCTCTATAACTATGGATGGCCACTGAGACCAGGCTTGTGTCAGGGGTGTCCTTGAATGGGAGTCTAGAGAGGTCATTTCGTGAAGCTATGAAGTTGAAGCCTGAATTGTCTTGGCGACTCCAGATGTCTGGTGACGCCAGAGCCATGGGATACCTGCCGAGGAAAGCTGCTACCAGGGAGTGGAACCAGCCCAAGAGAAAGAAGTGTGTTAACAAAGTTCAATCAACAAACTGAAAGGAGCTGGAGATCTGAAGAGCGTTTTTTTTTAATAAATTTTTTATTGATATTTATTGAGCTCTACATTTTTCTCTGCTCTCCCCCCCGCCTCTCCCCTGCCCCCTTCAATCCTCCCCCAAGGTTCCCATGCTCCCAATTTACTCAGGAGATCTTGTCTTTTTCTACTTTATACTTCCCATGTAGACTATATCTATTTAAGTCTCTCTTAGTGTCCGTATTGTTGTCTAAGTTCTCTGAGATTGTGGTTTGTAGGTTGACTTTCTTTGCTTTATGTTTAAAAACCACCTATGAGTGAGTACATGTGATAATTGTCTTTCTGTGTCTGGGTTACCTCACTCAAAATAATGTTTTCTCATTCCACCCATTTTCCTGCAAAATTCAAGCTGTCGTTATTTTTTTCTACTGTGTAGTACTCCATTGTGTAAATGTACCACATTTTTCTAATCCATTCTTCAATCAAGGGACATTTAGGTTGTTTCCAGGTTCTGGCTATGACAAACAAAACTAATGTGAACATGGCTGAGCACATGTCATTGCGGCACGATTGAGCATCCTTTGGATATATACCCAAAAGTGGTATTGCTGGTTCTTGGGGAAGGTTGTTTCCTAATTTTCTGAGAAATCGCCACACTGACATCCAAAGGTGCTGTACCAGCTTGCACTCCCACCAGCAATGCAGAAGTGTTCCATTTTCCCTACAACCTCTCCAGTATAAGTTGTCATCAGTGTTTTGGATCTTGGCCATTCTTACAGGTGACAGGTGTAAGATGGAATCTTAGAGTAGTTTTGATTTGCATTTCTCTGATGACTAAGGATGTTGAACATTTCCTTAAGTGTCTTCAGCCATTTTAGATTCCTCTGCTGAGAGTTCTCTGTTTAGGTCTGTACTCCATTTTTTTTAATTGGATTATGTGATCTTTTGGTGTTCAATTTTTTGAGTTCTTTGTATATTTTGGAGATCAGACCTCTGTCTGATGTAGGGTTAGTGAAGAACTTTTCCCACTCTGTAGGCTGTCGTTTTGTCTTGTTAACCGGGTCCTTTGCTTTACAAAAGTTTTTCAGTTTCAGGAGGTCCCATTTATTAATTGTTTCTCTCAGTGTCTGTATTGCTGGGGGTCTATTTAGGAAGTGGTTTCCTGTGCATTCCCCCTTTCTCTTCTATAAGGTTCAGTGTGGCTGGCTTTATGTTAAGATCTTTGATCCATTTGGACTTGAGCTTTGTGCATGGTGATTTTTTAATAAATTTTTTTATTGATATTTATTGAGCTCTACATTTTTCTCTGCTCTCCTTCCTGCCTCTCCTCTGCCCCCATGCTCTCAATTTACTCAGGAGATCTTGTCTTTTTCTACTTTATACTTCCCATGTAGACTATATCTATTTAAGTCTCTCATAAGTGTTCGTATTGCTGTCTAAGTTCTCTGGGATTATGGTCTATTTTCATTTTTCTACATGTTGATATCCAGTTATGCCAGCACCACTTGTTAAATATGCTTCCTTTTTTCCATTTGATATTTTTTGCTTCTTTATCAAATATCAGATGTTCAAAGATGTGTGGATTGATATCTGGGTCTTCTATTCGGTTCCACTGAAGAGTGTTTTGGCATCAGGCATGGAGAGGCAGAATCTGGAGTTTGCCCAGCTGGTTTTCAGTGTTGCTTTGGTCCAGTGTTTCCTCACTATGCTCCCTCCCCTGTGTTATAGAATGAGAATGTATATCCTGTGCCATTATATGTCGGAAGTATGTGATTTGCTTTTTGCTTTTGATTTTACAGGCAATTACTGTTAAGAGATCGTATTGTAGAAGGAACGGCGGGCTGCTTCCCACCGCCTGCCCGGCTAGCTTTACCTGAAATAATTACACGGAAACTGTATTCTTTTAAACACTGCCTGACCCATTAGTTCCCACTTCTTATTGGCTAGCTCTTACATATTGATTCAACCCATTTCTAATAATCTGTATATCACCACGAGATCGTGGCTTACCGGGAGAGATTCAGCCTGTCTGACCTGGCGGCTGGCTGCATGGCGTCTTTTGTTATATGTTTCTTGCTTAATATTGTTTGTTGTTTGTAATTTTATATTTATTATTTGTTTCTATTGTATATAGTTGTATTTGGTTTTGTTCTGTCTTATTTTAGAAAATAGGGGGAGATCAGCCAATCATATTCTGTCCGTGGGGCGTGTTGCCCTAAGGCAAAAATTTACCTATAAACCTGGCGGTGCACTTCCCCGCCCTCTCTCACTTGGCTCCTTATATTCCCGATGGACGGACCGTTGGGATGCTGGTGTAAGTTTTCCTTCTGTTTATTAAAGCTGTATCTTTTGTATTAAGCTAGTCTGGCAGATCTTTAATTACTGATCGACCTTGCCCCTTCATTGTATGAATTTCAGAAGAGACTTTGAAACTAGACTTTTAATTAAGTTTGAAACTGTTAAAGACTATGGATACTTCTGAAGTTGAACTGA